GAATAGGGGAGCTAGTAGACTGGGAGATGGAGGTATTGGGAAGAGGGTGGGAGTACTTTGAGGAACTTTTAAATGTTGATGAAAACAGGGATGCAATTTCATGCACTAGCCAGTGAGGTATAACATCTTCTAGGAGTGAAGAAGAGCAGCATGCGAGTGTGGGGGAGGTGTGTGAGGCATTACTTAGAATGAAAGGGTGTAAAGCAGCTGGAACTGATGGGATCATGACAGAAACTTTGAAAGCAAGTCGGGATAAAGTTTTGAAGTGGTTGGTATTTGTATTCAATAAATATATGAAAGAGGGGACGTTACCTAGGGGCTGGCAGAGAGCATGTAAAGTTCTTTATATAGGGTTATCACTGAAAGAATTAGATGTAAGACAGACAACAGGATTGCGGATGAACAAGGAGTCTTTAGAATGTGTATTGGATGTGTAGATAAAGTGCTTACATTGAAGTACATGTACATAAGTGAGCAATATTTAGATGAATGTAAGAAACTTTTAATTGCATTTATGGATTTAGGAAAGGCATAAGACAGAGTGGATAGGGAAGCAATGTGGCAGATGTTGCAAGTGTATGGAATAGGTAGTAAATTTATGAATGCTGTAAAGAGTATTTATGAGGATAGTGAGGCTCAGATTAGGGTGTGTAGGAAAGAGGAAGATTACTTCCCGGTAAAAGTAGGTCTTAGACAGGGATGTGTAATGTCACCACGGTGCTAGGGTGCTGGGGAGAGGGGTGAGACTAAATTATTGGGAATCAAATGCAAAATGGCAGTTGACACAGTTACTTTTTGCTGATGATACTGTGCTTTTGGGAAATTCTAAAGAAACGTTGCAGAGATTAGTAAACGAGTTTGGGAATATGTGTAAAGGTGGAAAATTTAAACTGAACATAGCTAAGAGTAAGGTGATGAGGGTATCAAACTATCTAGGTAAGGAAAAAATTGGATATCACATTGGAGGGAGGGAGAATGGAAGAAGTGAATGTGTTCAGATATTTGAGAATTGACTTGTCAGCAGATGGGTTTATAAAGAACATAACATAAGAACATAAGAAAGTAGGATCACTGCAGCAGAACTGATGAAGGGAAAAAGGTGAGTGGTGTTTGTGGTATCTGTGAAGACAAAAAATTTTTTCCATAAAGGCAAAGAAAGGAATGTTCAAAAGTATAGTGGTTCCAACACTCTTGAATGGGTATGAAGCATGGGTTGTAAATGCTGCAGCGAGGAGGAGGCTGGAGGTAGCGGAGATGCCGTGTCTAAAGGCAATTGATGTAAATATGCAGAGAATTCGTAGTGTGGAAATTAGGAGAAGGTGTCGAGCTACTAAAAGTATTAGTCAGAGGGCTGAAGAGTGGTTGTTGAGGTGGTTTGGTCATTTAGAGAGGAGGAACAAAGTGGAGAGCATATAAATCTGTTGTGGAAGAAAGGCGCGGTAGGGGTCGTCCCTAGGAATGGTTGGAGGAAGTAAAGGAGGTTTTGTGTGCGAGGGGCTTGGACTTCCAGCAAGCGTGTGTGAGCGTGTTAGATAGGATTGAATACAGACAAATGGTCTTTGGGACCTGACGAGCAGCTGGAGTGTGAGCAGGGTAATATTTTGTGAAGGGGTTCAGGGAAACCGGTTAGCCGGACTTGAGTCCTGGAGGTGGAAAGTACAATGCCTGCACTTTAAAGGAGGAGTTTTTGGGATATTGGCAGTTTGGAGGGACGTCTAAACTATCCTATCTGAACGCCCTACAAAGACAGTGTTATGTATGAATGATGGTGAAAGTGTTGATTACTAATGAAAGTTTTTTCTTTTTTTTTTGGGGGGGGGGGAGGGGTCACACTGCCTTGTTGGGAAACGGCTGACACGTTGAGATATATATATCAATAACAACACTGCATGGTCTTTGTAGGATTGTATGGTCCCGTGGGTTACAGCGTCGTGAATTTTCGCTCACCATTAGGCGGACTAAACACGGGTTAGATCTCCGGCTAATCACAGTGTTATTACTGATTAAATGTCACTCGTTCGTAGTTACAATACTATATATATATATATATATATATATATATATATATATATATATATATATATATATATATATATATTATATATATATATATATATATATAAACCAAGGACCACAGGGCAACCAGCTTCCTTTTTCAGAGACTCAGTGTTGCGATCCAAAGAGGAAATGCCTGCAGCATTCTGGGCACGCGGCCCACCGCCGGGGAGCTAGACGAAGTATTCGAGATGTAGCTCTGAGTTACCTATGTTGTTTTACTTTCAATTGTTTCTTTACCTGGAGTTTACCTGGAGAGAGTTTCGGGGGTCAACGCCCCCGCGGCCCGGTCTGTGACCAGGCCTCCTGGTGGATCAGCGCCTGATCAACCAGGCTGTTGCTGCTGGCTGCACGCAAACCAACGTACGAGCCACAGCCCGGCTGATCAGGAACTGACTTTAGGTGCTTGTCCAGTGCCAGCTTGAAGACTGCCAGGGGTCTGTTGGTAATCCCCCTTATGTGTGCTGGGAGGCAGTTGAACAGTCTCGGTCCCCTGACACTTATTGTATGGTCTCTTAACGTGCTAGTGACACCCCTGCTTTTCATTGGGGGGATGGTGCATCGTCTGCCAAGTCTTTTGCTTTCGTAGTGAGTGATTTTCGTGTGCAAGTTCGGTACTAGTCCCTCTAGGATTTTCCAGGTGTATATAATCATGTATCTCTCCCTCCTGCGTTCCAGGGAATACAGGTTTAGAAACCTCAAGCGCTCCCAGTAATTGAGGTGTTTTATCTCCGTTATGCGCGCCGTGAAAGTTCTCTGTACATTTTCTAGGTCGGCAATTTCACCTGCCTTGAAAGGTGCTGTTAGAGTGCAGCAATATTCCAGCCTAGATAGAACAAGTGACCTGAAGAGTGTCATCATGGGCTTGGCTCCCTAGTTTTGAAGGTTCTCATTATCCATCCTGTCATTTTTCTAGCAGATGCGATTGATACAATGTTATGGTCCTTGAAGGTGAGATCCTCCGACATAATCACTCCCAGGTCTTTGACGTTGGTGTTTCGCTCTATTTTGTGGCCAGAATTTGTTTTGTACTCTGATGAAGATTTAATTTCCTCATGTTTACCATATCTGAGTAATTGAAATTTCTCATCGTTGAACTTCATATTGTTTTCTGCAGCCCACTGAAAGATTTGGTTGATGTCCGCCTGGAGCCTTGCAGTGTCTGCAATGGAAGACACTGTCATGCAGATTCGAGTGTCATCTGCAAAGGAAGACACGGTGCTGTGGCTGACATCCTTGTCTATGTCGGATATGAGGATGAGGAACAAGATGGGAGCTAGTACTGTGCCTTGTGGAACAGAGCTTTTCACCGTAGCTGCCTCGGACTTTACTCTGTTGACGACTACTCTCTGTGTTCTGTTAGTGAGGAAATTATAGATCCATCGACCAACTTTTCCTGTTATTCCTTTAGCGCGCATTTTGTGCGCTATTACGCCATGGTCACACTTGTCGAAGGCTTTTGCAAAGTCTGTATATATTACATCTGCATTCTTTTTGTCTTCTAGTGCATTTAGGACCTTGTCGTAGTGATCCAGTAGTTGAGACAGACAGGAGCGACCTGTTCTAAACCCATGTTGCCCTGGGTTGTGTAACTGATGGGTTTCTAGATGGGTGGTGATCTTGCTTCTTAGGACCCTTTCAAAGATTTTTATGATATGGGATGTTAGTGCTATTGGTCTGTAGTTCTTTGCTGTTGCTTTACTGCCCCCTTTGTGGAGTGGGGCTATGTCTGTTGTTTTTAGTAACTGAGGGACGACCCCCGTGTCCATGCTCCCTCTCCATAGGATGGAAAAGGCTCGTGATAGGGGCTTCTTGCAGTTCTTGATGAACACAGAGTTCCATGAGTCTGGCCCTGGGGCAGAGTGCATGGGCATGTCATTTATCGCCTGTTCGAAGTCATTTGGCGTCAGGATAACATCGGATAGGCTTGTGTTAATCAAATTTTGTGGCTCTCTCATAAAAATTTTGCGAATGTTTTGTCAATGTATTTTGTCTTTAAATAAAATATATATTAAATATAGGGGGTGGTAGGAGAAAATTCTCAAACAGCTTCAGGGAGAACCTTGAGTTTTCCCTGAAGCAAGTTTATTCTTTTCTCTGAGGATGAGGGTCCCTAGGACAGTTCTAGAGGTGGTAACCTCCCTATATATATATATATATATATATATATTATATATATATATATATATATATATATATATATATATATATATTATATATATATATATATATATATATATATATATATATATATATATATATATATATATATATATATATATGGTGAGAATCAATGAATTGGAAGCTAGTTTCCTCGTTTTTGGATAAGTCCTGGTAACCTTCCTCTCATATCTTCTCCCCAATCGCTGCATGACCTTTATGAATTTATCGGTTCCACTTGAATATACTAAATTTATCAGTCAATGGTGGACGGAAATAAAGTCGAGGGTTGATCAAAGCTGGTGTCACTTGTACTAGTAGAGACGTGTCGAGGAAGCACAAACACATCCACTCACGTTGGTCTTTTTATAGAAATTACTCAGAGGTGAGGTTTTGTTCTTTGTGTGGAAAAAAATACAGAAATACATTTATTTTTCTGAGTGTTTCTTAACAACTCTTATTCCTGTATCATATTCGTTTCAGTTAAGAAAACTAGGTCTGGGACCGGGCTAGCGGCGTGGTCCGGGACCGGCCGAGGGGACAATGATATCATGCAACCATCAACAAATTTACAGACTAAAGTTTAATTGAATTTTATAGATATAATCAGTTCTTTTGCTGACTATTTCTTTCCTTTGGAAAATTGACAGGTTCAGTAATTCTTTGTAAGGACATGAAAGATTGTTTTTGTTTCTTGTATAAGCATGAAAATGCGGAGAGAATGAATGGAGAGCGGAACTAGTGTGGAGGGAGGGCGGAAGATGTGAGGGAGGGTGAGAGGAGTTCGGAGGGTGGCAACTGTGGTGGTGGCAACTGTAGTGGGTGTGATGCATCTCAAAATAGCTGGTAGGTGTGACAGCAGGAGGCAGCACCTCTGCTGTTACTGGCAGTAGTACAGTACCTCTCAGAGACACCGCTGATCACTCCCACTCCAGGTCAGTTATCACCACTCCCACTCCAGGTTAGTCATCATCTCTCCCACTCCAGGTCATTCATAACCACTCCCACTCCAGGTCAGTCATCACCACCACCACTTCAGGTCAGTCATCACCACTCCCACTTTAGGTCAGTCACCACCACTCCTACTCCAGGTCAGTCATCACCACTCCCAACTTACCCAACTCAACTCGGTTATCATATTTATATTATTATTATTATTATCAAAAAAGAAGCGCTAAGCCACAAGGGCTATACAGCGCTGCGATATCATATTTATAAAGAAGCACTAAATCCCCTTTTTATAATGCTTAATCTGAGGAAAATAAGGATAGTTTCAAATCATCGTATCGAGAGCCCTTTGTTATCAAATCACCATCATTGAAAAGCCAGCTATCATAGATGCCCTCCTTGAAATTTGGTCATTTAGGTTAGGTTAGGTAAGAATCGTCGGGAAACAGGACAAGTGTTTCCTGACGCGGTTCATAGTCATATAATGACCCACCACTGGAGCTTTTGGTCATCTGACTGAGACCTTCTGCTATAACCATAATTTTTGAAGGAGTGGACCGGTAAGCCAGCGGAAGGCCTCGGTCAGATGACCAAAGCCTCCAAGGTGCATCATCATTTGACTAAGACCCTCGTCAGGAAACACTTGTTCAGTGTGGCATGCAAAGAGTATATTACAATTTATTCGGCGTAAGTCACACTCCTATATAGGCTGCCTCCCATCCAGCAAACCAGGCTTAACGATCGATAAGGTCGTTAAGCATTCGTAAGCAATGGCAGACTTGCCTACTTGGGATAATATCCACAGAGAATGGTGCAGACGCCTACTGTGGAAGTTAGAGATGTGAGACTTGGCTTCGCACTGAGATCTTTGAGACAATATGTATTCACGGTGGAATCATTGATATTACTTCTAGCAAGTACCGGGCGGATATTCCTGGCAACCTCACCACACGGGAGCACTATGAACTAATTAGAGGAATCTTCAGTAGGGATTTGTTGAGGACAGCTTGTGCCTTGAGTTTACAATTCCAGATGAAGAAAGATGGAAATTGAAGATGTGTGCAGGCTTGTGTTACGTAGACACACCTCCTCAAGGAAACAAGGGCTGGAGATGCGAATAGCTCTTAAGAATAAACCAATAAGTCTACTTCTAGTGCGGGTGTCTTGGTGTGAACAGAAGTGCATAAGATAGTCCTTGGTAGGTTTTTCTATACACTTTGAAGAGAAGGTTGTCGCTGTCGGGAAACCTGCAAGAGAGGTCGTCGAGGAAAGGAAGTTTGCCTAGTGGAGGGTATCTTTAGAGTTCGCAGAGATATCGTCTGAGCTTGCTGCCGAGATCAACCATCAAATTTAATCTTGAGGAAACAAAGAGTAATAAACTCCCGTTATTAGATGTCCTACTAAAGACAGGTGGAGACAGACTCGGAAAATGTTTCCTAACAAAGAAAACCTGCTACATTTTTATTCAACCATAATACTCTTCGAGAAACTGTGGGCTGCATACGATATGCAACCCACAGTTTCTCGAAGAGGAATGTGATCACATTATCCAAATATTCACATGACTGCAGTGACCGCACACTCTGCTTCTGACAATCTGAAACGAGCACGTGACATCATCAACACGGTCGCATGAAGACATCCTTCTTCCACTTGGCAAGGTAGCCGAAAATGTTACCAGTGCGCTCGGAAGTCACTGAGTGTGGCCACTATCATTGTCAACTATCACAGATTTAATGAAGAGAATAACTATGACCGTCGAGACTTGTGTAGATGTGTGTGCTATGCCATTATCTGAAGGTTACGTGAAGGCTATACCTAGGGTTACCAGTGCCATGGCCCAGGCCTAGGCCAGTTCTCAACGTAGATGACAGCTTAATCTAATGTATGCGCCACAGCCTGATTGATCAAGAACTACTTGAAGAACTGGTCAAGTTCTCTCTTGAAGACATCTAATAGTCTGTTGACAATTCACCTTAAGTAAGAAGGAAGGATACTGAAAAGTCTTGGTCCTTTTAGTGTACTCACTGAATCTCTGTTTTTCATTGCTTTCGTGCAAATTATGTTGCATCTTTCTCGCCTACGTTCCATGGAGTATAATTTGAAGGCCATCAAGTGTTTTAATAATTTAGACGCTTAAATTAATTTATAATAACGAGCAGTGAAGGTTCTCTGTATATTCTCCAAATCTGCAGTTTCGCCTGCCTGTATCCTTCACATTAATCATCTCCTCTAATGTGTGCTTCCAGTTTTATTTTCTCATTTTTTTTTCATAGCGGAGTAACTGAAATTTGTTCTCATCGAACATAATATTCTGTGACTAACTGGAAAACCTGGATTATATCAGTTTGGAAATTTGCTGTATCCTCACTGGATAACACTCGTGCGCAAAGTCTATAATCATCTGCAATGGATGAAAAGGCGCTTTGTTTTATGTCTGTCAGATGTGAAAATAAAAAAGATAATTGGGGCGGGTACTGTGCCTTGAGGCGCAATGTTTTAATTTTACTTTGGTCACTTTTCTCTTTGCGTTATATTTTTAAGAATATTAACTGTCCACCTGGCTACTTTTCCAATTATTCCTTTTTCATGCATTTTGTGCGCTGTTACACCTTGGTCGCATTTGTTAAAGGCATAGTATGTGTATGCTATATCTGTGGTGTACACATTGTAGTGTACAGCTGTAGTGTCCGAGACCATGTAGCAATGGTCCAGCATTTAAGAGAGGCAGGAACGGCCCAGAGATATACAATTTTTATGAATCCATGTGTTTAGCGATCTTGTTTCTTAAAACTCTTTCAAATATTTTGATACGTGGGACGTCCCATCACTGTTTTAGGACTTTAGTTCTTTGCAATTGCTTTACTGCCACCTTTATGAATTGTGCTGTATCCCTGGTTTATAAACGACTAATAAATCTTGCATTCACACACCATTAATAGGAGTTTTCAACAATTCATGACGAATATGGAGTTCCACATATCTGGGCATGGTGCAGTGTTTGGGCATACTAGCAGTACCTTCTAAGTCGGGTAAGGTTATGGTTTTTTTTCCGAAATTAGGGTAATGTTAGCAGTCTCATTCTTGACAACTGTATTTAGACAGTCAGTCTTTAGTCAGACTGACAGCTCACTCAACACAGGGTCATGTTTTGATTTCAGAAATTAGCACATTTCATTGTTATCGTCAGTGTAAGTTCTATCTCTTTTAAGCAAGGACCCGTTATAAGATGAGGTTTATGCCTCATCTGATATCGGGCATTTCAGATTTGTTTTAATTTAGTTAATGTTGTTTTGTTCTCTGCGTCTCTTCTGAACTCTGTATATATTCGGATTCAATTCGGTGTTTTACATTCCTCTAGCCAGTGTATCTTTTAGTTCTCGAGGAAACCATACCCCCGGCCGGGATTGAACCCGCGGTCATAGAGTCTCAAAACTCCAGCCCGTCGCGCTAGCCACTAGACCAGCTAGCCACAATAAGATTCATCCAACTAGGTATATTTCTACACCATAGGAAAGTTAGCACAGGCACCTCTGTGACCACAAATGCAAGTTTTTACAGACGAATCTCCAGCTAGCGTGGCCGTGACGAACTCTAGCTCAAGTCCCTTCACTGCCGTCAACATGACTTAAGAAATCGTAATGACACGATTGCAAATAAACCATACCCCCGGCCGGGATTGAACCCGCGGTCATAGAGTCTCAAAACTCCAGCCCGTCGCGCTAGCCACTAGACCAGCTAGCCACAATAAGATTCATCCAACTAGGTATATTTCTACACCATAGGAAAGTTAGCACAGGCACCTCTGTGACCACAGAGAAATATACCTAGTTGGATGAATCTTATTGTGGCTAGCTGGTCTAGTGGCTAGCGCGACGGGCTGGAGTTTTGAGACTCTATGACCGCGGGTTCAATCCCGGCCGGGGGTATGGTTTATTTGCAATCGTGTCATTACGATTTCTTAAGTCATGTTCTCGAGGAAGTCTGCAGCCTTTGAGAAGTTTCTACTTCGTCTTTGCCTGTAAGAGGAAAACTTTTTTTTAACTTGAAGGAGAAGGCGCCATTGGTGAACAAAAATACGGATTCAGTATATGATTTGAATAATAATTGCATAATACACAGGAATTCACAAAGGTACTTGGTAAAGTAAGATAGTTCGCAGAAGCATCGCTGTGACACAGCCTTGGTCATGGTTTCCTACACAGTAGCCCAAAGCTCAGATAGTTTTAGAGTCTCAGAAGTACGTACTCACCAAGCTGATTCTACCCCGCCAGTCACTACACTAGCAGGTAATGCATGCTCAAGCACTTGACATCACTGAACTTGACCCTACCTGTGTTTTCTGTACCGGATCGAAAAGCCTCGATTGGGCGAAATGTCTTTTAATTAAATGTCGTAAGTGCTACACTTACGTCAAATCTGTATTGTCAAATCTGTACAGTGTGTCCCTTGAAATAATTTTTTTTTTTTTTCAGGTATTCTCCGTCTTGTTTTTTCATCGTTCGACCTCAAATATATATACCAGAAATAGCTATATAATGCGGCAAGGGCCTGCTGTGGGCTGGAGTACTGGGGCTGCCAGACCTACAGTCATTCAACCCTCATCCTTCTCCAGAGGTGGCAACGAAGCTGGCATCAACTGCGGTTGTTGCGTGTGTTGTCCTTGTTTTCACTATGGTTTCCTCAAGACAAGGTTCGGCTTGCTCAAGATACTTCAACTGGTAGGAATCTAAACTTGTTCAACTTAATTCAAAATCGAAGACAAAATGCGAAGAATATTTGGCATGATGAATTTGGAGTTTAAGCATTTTTATCAACTTAGGATTACACTTTAATGCAACTTTGACTCGGACATTTATTTAGTATCACTTGCAAATCATACTAATTATAACCGATGTCACAGATCCTGTCTGCAATCTGCCTGACACTGGTGCTGGAATATGGGTTTCCCTACAGTTCTATTATAGGAGACTCCTTCACGTTCTTCGTGGTCACCATTTCTGCTTGCGTCTTCGTGGTCAGCCTCCTCACCTTCTGCTACCTCATCTCAGCAAATTCTTTCAATCTCATCCGCTCCTCCGTTCTGGTTAGTTCAATTTCAAATGTAAAATATGTAACTTTTCTTAATAATTGTGTTTTGTTCGTCAGAAAAAGGACGGTGTCCCCTGACACGGATTTTAGTACGATGATGATCCGTCGAACAGTTTGGTATCTGCTGAGTCAACCCCAGCTAGTGATACTGTTTAATATCCTTGAAGCAAATGCGTATGTTGACTTAGCCCTCCAATCTTCTGCTCTACACAAACTTATGTAATTCATGAACCTTGTTTAAGAGCAACTTTTTCTAGTAACCTTGGAAAGGTTATAGGGCGCCGGACCTTCTGAACGGACCATATAAGCTCTCGTTCTAGCTTGACACTTTTCATCATTATTGTAAACAAAGATATATAGGACACATCATAGCGGTCCAAACAGTGCAAGCTGGGAATTTGAAGAAGTTTATCATCATCAATCATCATCATCATCATCATCATCATCATCATCATCATCATCATCATCATCATCATCATCATCATCATCATCATCATCATCATCATCATCATCATCATCATCATCATCATCATCATCATCATCATCATCATCATCATCATCATCACATTCATAGTTAAGGGCTAAACCTCCACTTACTGAAAAGATACCAAAATTCCATATACGTATTATCATAATATTGACATAATAAATGCCTCTTGATTTTGAGAAGATGTAGCCACATTTTAGGCTTGAAGCTGTTCAGAAAAAAAAATTCTAGTTATCACGCTGAAAACATTACTGCACAGTTTTTAAAATAAAATTGGCAAAGTGGCACCTAAACAATTTAATAATAACTCGAACTTTTCTCGAAGTTGTCCGTCACTGAAAGTTTGAGGTTATGAAAAATGGGTTAACTGGTTCTTAAACCCGAACTTTCCTCTTCTGAGATAACCTGACACTGAAAGTGTGAAGTTAATCATGAGAACTGCTCTCAAATCATCACAGAACCTTGAAATAGGAAAAAAAAAGATGAAGGCTGGTATTCACTACAGATATACCCTAGCAAGATGTGCTTCACCTGGCGGATTTACTGGTAAGTGGGCTGAACCACAATTACTTAGTACCAAATTATTTCTTAACCCATCGTGAGTCACGCCGAGCCGCCATCTGCAACATTTGAACGGGGTCCCCATATGATTCCTAATAAATATTTACATACTAGATTCTAGACTTCTAAACCTGCCAATGTGTGTTTCAGTCACTGTGTGACCTTGAGGGAGGTGAACTGCAACTCCTCTGCCTCTTGAGGTTTTTGAGTTAGCTGTTAGACCCTTTGCATGGGTGCAGGTACCAGGGTTTGGGATTTAATGATACTGAGAAAACTCTCGGAATACACAGCAATCAAAACACGTCTAGTCATGTCGTGAAATTGGCAAACTTGCATCAACACAAGTATGCTGAATCTTTCCTTGGATTATATACATCACGTTATTGCTTTGAAAACATTATAGTCCTTGATTTTTAAAATGAAATTCACCCTGAAACCTTCGGTTAGGATGGGTAAGATTTGTCAGGAAACAGGATAAGTGTTACCTGACGCGGGTTTAGTCATATTATGACTCCACCGTTGGAGCTTTTGGTCATCTGACCGAGGCCTTCCGCTGGCTTACCCCTCCACCCTTTAAAAAGATTATAACCATTTTTGATACATCCATCCGAACTATATTCTAGTTAAGATACACCAGCAAGGAAAATTTGAAGTCAACTAATCGGAAGAGGCTTTCTCAAGTTATCCCATGGACACTAGTACTTTATTTAAAATTGGTATCCACGCAGCCCAGAGCTGAATCAGATTAAATAAGTTCTCAAGCTATCACACCAAAATCTTACACAGACAAAAATCCGACGACTAGAGGTATTCTTATTCAGGGGATAACTAAGGTTAAGTTACGCTATGTTAGATTAATATTTAATTTTAGCAATGATTCACTTTTACCGTAGCCGTGGGGAAGCACTAAACCCATAAGGCTAATACTGTACCTGGATAACGGGAAATAATCAGATCTGACTTAAAAAAAAAGGGAAAAACAGCTCTAATGTCTTTGATTACGAACACCCGGACCCCCTTCAATAGCACACTGGTCAACAGTTTTTGAAAAGTTGTATGCTTCGTAAATGAGATTAGTTAATTCTTATGTATTTTCATGTCCTGAATCCAAATATCACCTTGAAAAATCCCTATTGGCTATAGGTTTGAAGATACGAGACTGGTAATATTGAATTATTTTATTATAACAGAATATGTGTGTCAGTATGTTTTAAACTCTAATCCGTACCTATTCTCTGCCTTTTTGCTTGACGCTTATAGTGGCCTGAAGAATCATTTCTTGTCGATGTCCAGCAATAGTCTGCAAGCATTCTTGTGCTCCATTTGCCCTGGTACCATTTTTTCATGGCTGAAATATCTTGGCGAAACCTTTCACCATGTTCGTCACACTGCCTCACAGTTCGCTGGAAAAAAAGTCTAAATGTGAGTCCAAAAAGTGGATTTTAAGTGACACGTTACATCCCATGTTCTTGTAAGCCTTGATGAGGTTTTCCATCAATTCTTCATAGTTGCCTTCCCTTCTGTTTCCGAGAAATCCCTTCACCACTAACTTGAATGCTTCCCGAGCAGCTTTCTCCTCCCCATGAAGGTCTGATTCAAAGTCGCCATCTTTAAGAAGCTCTCGAATCTGAGGACCATTGAAGACTTCCTCTCTTATCTTAGTGTAGCTCATTGAGGGGAATTTTGATGTTAAATACTTGAATCCTGACCGAATTTGCCCATAACTTTTACAAAGTTTTTCATGAGCCCCAGTTTTATGTGTAGTGGTGGTAGCAAAATTTTGTTCGATTCAATTGAGAGGTGGATGTTGAACATTTTTCCTCCCAGGTTCCAATGATTGACGAGGTGGCCAAGTCTCTCCTGATGTAGTGGAACCTCTTGCACGGCTGTCCCATTCACACAGAAAGCAGCAGTAATTGTATATTGAAAAGTGAAGCTAACAAACAATTTTAACTATGATATTCATTATCAGTGACCTAAAATTAGTTGGAATTGCTACTCTGGTCTCGGAAGCATTTTGGTTGTTGACCAGTGTAGTTCTTGGATCAAATCGTGCTGAAACTGACGTACTGTAATACAGTATCATGGAAATGCTAAACGTATTTGGGTCATCACTCACTGGGATCACTGTAAAACGCTGGAAAACTAAATTCTTATTGGAGGACTGGTTACCTAGCCTAGTATTGGTAACAGGAGTGAATCTCGTAAAATACTATAATAGCATGAAAGTAAATGATTAATCATGAGACGGGGATACCTAGAGGGTATTCCGGGGGTCATCGCCCCCGCGGCCCGGTCCAGTGGATCAGGGCCTGATCAACCAGGCGTTACTGCTGGCCGCACGCAAACCAACGTACGAACCACAGCCCGGTTAATCGGGAACTGACTTTAGGTGCCTGTCCAACTCCATCCCTTTATGTATGCCGGGAGGTAGTTAGTCTTGGACCCGTGATATTTATTGTGTTGACTCTTAACGTACTCATGGGGCCCCTGCTTTTCGTTGGGGTATGTTGCACCGCCTGCGGAGTCTTTTGCTTTCGTAGAGAGTAATTTCCATGTGTAAATTTTGGGACTTGTCTCTCTAAGATTTTCCAAGTATATATTATCATGTACCTTTCTCGCCTGCGTTCCAAGGAGTACAAGTCAAGGGACATCAACTGTTTCCAGTAGTTTATGTATTTTATTGTGCCAAATTACTTTTCAAGACTAGCATAAAGTGACAATGAGTGGTACAAAAAGGCACAATAACGTGGCTGGAACAATACACAAATAACCCGCACATAGAAAGAAACTTATGATGACGTTTCAGTCCGACGGTATGACTAGTTGAAAGTTAAGACACTTGTACAACACCTGGTTATCTTTATTGCAGACGTTTCGCCATCCAGTGGCTTTATCAATACAGATTCTTGGACATAATTAGAAAACAGAATCTCTACAACCACGTTGCTGTAAACACTAACTCCAAGGCTGAGGGACTGATTACCTCATCTTTTGTATATAGTTCTTCTGTTTTCTAATTATGTCCAAGAGTCTGTATTGATAAAGCCACTGGATGGCGAAACGTCTACAATAAAGATAACCAGATGTTGCACAAGTGTCTTAACTTTTATCTTGTCGGTATTGTATACCTGTCTTGCACAACGGTATGACTAGTTAATGGTGCAATTAGGACATTAACTTCGTCGTAAGTTTTTTTCTCCTATGTGCGGGTTGCTTGCATATAAACAGTGTTAATATAGACAAACCGAGTTTAAGAAATAACGTACCTTGATTCTGTTTTTCTCTTATTGCTGCAGGAGGTAGTGTTTAACACCCTGGCTTGCATCTTGTATCTCACCGCCTCACCGTACTTATCCTGGGCAGTTCAGACGTCACTGTGGGGACGATACTTAGTCACGCCATACTTCACTGTCTACCCGGCCATGACAGCTGCCTACGTGAGTATTTGACCTTCCTTCACTTCGAATCCTAAGATTAAAAGGGACGTAATAAATGAGGCGACAATTAAAGGAATTACCTTTACTTATTTCAGTATTCTGTTCATATGGGGATTATGATGGTGGTAGAAGCAAACAAAATAACGGAAGCAGTAGCCATCATGGCAGTCCTGCAAATTAAATACATTTGCCTCTGTTTAGAGACTCTCGACTGAGGAAAGCCAAGAGACAGACTACTAGGAACAAATTATTACTGTTATTATATTATACTAAAAACTAGCGTTAAACTCGTTTGGGTCATACAGTAATTCTTTGTGCGATGTGCAAGAATCAAGTTTAATAGAGCTGGGGGTTAGTGCAGTGCAAAAATTAATTAATGTCAAAGTAGGTGCAATTGGTTAGTTTCTAAACAAATCACAGAACGGGAGGGGTTTGAACCCATGGCAGTTGGGTTATTAAGATTTCGGGAGTCAGGTTATTTTCTGATAAACAGTCAGAGTGGTTCTGTGCCGAAGGTGGGAATTTTGACAAGGTTAGTTAAAATGAGCACGTCAGGGCAAAGCAGCTATTGAGTGTTTATTTTTGCGTTTTCTTTGGAAGCTACGACAAACTTTTAGAAAGTGGCGAACAGAACGCTCGAGCTAGAAGTTGTCGCAAAGAGGCGCCAAAAGTTTTTTCGTGTGGTATCCGTACTCACCTATTTGTACTCACCTATTTGTGGTTGCAGGGGTCGATTCATAGCTCCTGGCCCCGCCTCTTCACTGATTGCTACTAGGTCCTCTCTCTCCCTGCTCCATGAGCTTTATCATACCTCGCCTGAAAACTATGTATGGTTCCCGCCTCCACTACTTCACTTTCTAGGCTATTCCACGGCCTGACTACTCTATGACTGAAGAAATACTTCCTAACATCCCTTTGATTCATCTGAGTCTTCAACTTCCAATTGTGACCTCTTGTGTCTGTGTCCCATCTCTGGAACATCCCGTCTTTGTCCACCTCGTCTATTCCGTGCAGTATTTTATATGTCGTTATCATGTCTCCCCTGACCCTCCTGGACTCCAGTGTCGTCAGGCCGATTTCCCTCAACCTTTCTTCGTAGGACAATCCCCGTAGCTCTGGGACTAGTCTTGCTGCAAACCTTGCACTTTCTCTAATTTCTTGACGTGCTTGATAGGTGTGGATTCCAAACTGGTGCTGCATACTCCAGTATGGGCCTGACGTAAATGGTATACAGATTCTTGAACGAATCCTTACTGAGGTATCGGAACGCTATCCGTAGGTTTGCCAGGCGCCCGTATGCTGCAGCACTTATCTGACTGATGTGCGCCTCAGGAGATATGCTCGGTGTTATACTCACCCCCAGATCTTTTTCTTGAGTGAGGTTTGCAGACTTTGGCCATCTAAACTATAATTGTGTCTGCGGTCTTCTTTGCCCTTCCCAATCTTCATGACTTTGCATTTGGCAGGGTTTAAACTCAAGGAGCCAGTTGCTGGACCAGGCTTGTAGCCTGTCCAGGTCTCTTTGTAGTCCTGCCTGATCCTCATCCGATTTGATTCTTCTCATTAACTTCACATCATTCCGCAAACAAGGACACTTCTGAGTCTATCCCTTCCGTTATGTCATTCACATATACCAAGAACAGCACAGGTCCTAGGACTGACCCCTGTGGAACCCGCTTGTCACAGGCGCCCACTCTGACACCTCGTCACGTACCATGACTCGTTGTTGCCTCCCTGTCAGGTATTCTCTGACCATTGCAGTGCCTTTCCTGTTATGTGTGTCTGATCCTCTAGCTTTTTGCAGTAACCTCTTGTGAGGAACTGTGTCGAAGGCCTTCTTGCAGTCCAAAAAAATGCAGTCGATCCACCCCTCTCTCTCTTGTCTTACTTCTGTCACCTTGTCATAAAACTCTAGTAGGTTTGTGACACAGGATTTTCCTCCCTGAAACCATGCTGGTTGTCAATTATACACTTGTTTCTTTCCAGGTGCACCACCACTCTCCTCCTGATGATCTTCTCCATGACCTTGCATACTATAACGTTAGTGATACAGGTCTGTAGTTTAGTGCCTCATGTCTGTCTCCCTTTTTAAAAATGGGACTAATTTGCCATCTTCCATACCTCGGGGATTGCCCAGTTTCAAATGATGTGTTGAAGATCTTTGTTAATGGTACACACAATATCTCTGCTCCCTCTTTAAGGACCCACGGAGAGATGTTGTCTGGTTCCACCGCCTTTGAGGTGTCAAGTTCGCTAGCAGCTGTCTTCACCTCTTCCTTGGTTATATGTACTCATCCAGCATTGCTGTGCACCCCCCTGCTCTGATTTCCTGGAGTCCTACTGAGTTTCCTACTGTAAATACTTCTTTAAATCTTGTGTTGAGCTCCTGACATACCTCCCGGTCGTTTCTTGTGAATTCCCCATCACCCTTCCTCAGTCTGATTACCTGGTCCTTGACTGTTGTTTTCCTCCTGATGTGGCTGTACAACAGCTTCGGTCAGTCTTGCTTTCGATGCTATGTCATTTCGTATTGCCGCTCAGCCTCCCTTCTTATCTGTGCATATTCGTTTCTGGCTCTTCGGCTAATCTCTTTATTTTCCTGAGTTCTCTGTCTTCTGTACCTTTTCCATTCTCTAGTACACCTAGTTTTTTGCCTCCCTACACCTTTGAGTGAACCAAGGACTCGTTCTGTTCTTCCATTATTTCTGTTTCCCTTGGGAAAAACCTCTCCTCTGCCTCCTTGCATTTTGTTGCGACATAGTCCATCATTTCTTGTACTGGTTTTCCTGTCAGTTCCCTCTCCCACTGATGTCTTGAAAGAAGTTCCTCAAGCCTGAGTAGTTCCCCCTTTTGTAGTTTGGTTTTTTCCACCTATTCCTGCTGCTCTCTCCACTTGGAGCTCAACTATGTAGTCGAAGCACAGAACCACATGATCACTAGCTCCAGGGGCCTTTCATACATGATATCCTCGATGTCAGAACTACTCAAGGTGAATACAAGGTCCAGTCTTGCTGGTTCATCCTCTCCTCTCTCTCTGGTAGTGTCTCTAACATGTTGATGCATGAGGTTTTCCAGTACCACATCCATCATCTTGGCTCTCCATGTTTCGGGACCCCATGGGGCTCCAGGTTTTCCCAGTCAATCTCCTTGTGATTGAAATCACCCATAACTAGTAACTTTGCTCCCCCCATGTGTGCTCTCCTGGCCACCTCAGCTAGTGTGTCGACCATTACTCTGTTGCTCTCATCGTATTCTTCTCTTGGCCTCCTGCAGTTCTGTGGTGGGTTGTACATTACTGCAATTATCACCTTACGTCCCTCAGACTGGATTGTTCCTACTAAGTAGTCCCTTTCGCCCGTGCCGTCCATTCCTTCCATTTTCTCAAACCCTCGCTGGTTTTTAATGAGCAGTGCAACTCCTCCTCCCCCTCTCCTCCCTCTGTCTTTCCTGAGGATTTGATATCCGGATGGAAAGATTGAATCTGTTATTATTCTGATGAGTTTTGTTTCTGTGAGTGCTATTATGTCTGGGGATGTCTCCTTGATTCTTTCCTGCCACTCCTCATACTTATTTGTTATTCCATCTGCATTTGTATACCACCCTTCAACTTCTTTTCTAAGATTGTGGTCTGGGAGGTGTATTGGGGTTGGGGAGTGGGTGACCTGATAAGGAACTATGGGTGGTTGTGTGGGGGTGGAGTTTGTAATGCAGTGGGTGGGGGCATTGGATGTGGCATGGGTGTTTTGGTTTAGAGTGTTTGGTTGCACTGGGGTTGACCTGGTTGGGAGACTTCTATAGGAAGTTGTGATGGAGGTTGTATTTGATCTTCCTGTGTCTGGGATCTCCTGTCTGTCTTCTCCATCCCCTCTCTTTCCTCCTTTCGCCTTTGTACCATCTCTCTCAGTTTCTGCCTTTCTGCTTGTGTTCTGTCGCGGTCGAGATACACCTTCCTGTATGCCAGCATGTCCCTTAATCGTGCTTTCTCCTGCAGGATCCTGTTCCGAGTCGATTCTGCCTTGAAGGTCACTTTCACTGGCCGGGTTCTTATTTTTACAAAGGCCCCTATTCTCTGAAATTTTCCAGCTGGTCATGTCGTCTTCTCCTATTGCTTTCATGATGCTTTCAATTGCTTTTTTTTTTCCTTGTTTTCTTGCTTTATATGTTTCCCCTTCAGCTTCCTGGAGCCCTTACACAAAGACTGACCTCACCCTTTATTCTCCCACTGCATATCCCTGTGTATCCCCTCATTCAATTTGATTTCCTCCATTTCAGCTTTCCTTTCTTCAGTTTCATAGCTAATGTACTTGGGCTCAGTGGCCTGTCATTTTCCCTTTCGGCTTTCCCTGGGCTCTGCTGTGGTCTGTTAGGGACTCCACATATAGCTTAGTTCTTTCATTTACTACGGTCTCCACTGATTGAGCTTCTACATGCAGTTTTGCTCTTCTTTCCTACAGTCCCCTTATTTGTGACTGAGGTAGCAGTCTCTGTTGTCAATCCAAAAATGTTCTTTAGTTCTTTAGGCTGTTTCAGATTTTTCAGTTCCTCTTCTAAACTCTGTATCCTGGCCTCTGCTGCTTTGACTTGCACCTCCCACTTCCTGCTTTCCATGTCTATCCTCTCTTCCATTCTCATGCTAAGTTCTTTTAGTTTCTTTTCCCATTCATGTTCCCTTTTTGTGAGCTCTGCTGCCAATCTTCCTTTGCAGTTTCCTCCCCTGTCCCTTTGTTTTTTCTTGTTGCTCTCTGGCAACCCATTTTTGTTTTTACTGATTGCTCAGAGTGGGAAACCTATGTAATTCTGTATGTTAGGTTAGTATTGTGTATGTCAGAGTGTGGGGGGGAGGTAGAGGAGGAAACTGTGGCTATGTGGGAGAGTAGTGGGGAGGGGGGGCTGGGAAGGAGGGAGAAGCAGTAGGTGAGTGGGAGAGGGAGGGGGGAAGGAGGGAGAGATGGGGAGGGGGAGGGTGAAGAGGGAGGGGAGGGATCAGGTGAAGGAGTGAG